CCGCAGCACTCACGAATGCCCACCCGTTGATTCCCGTGCAAAAAATAGATAATAGACAATGAAGGGAAAAGCGCGCACAAATGTCCCAGCAAAAAAAGTCAGCATCAGTGGATTAACACTGAAGCCGTGGGTGCATGCTCCACAAATGTCCTATCTCTTTTATCCGCATTCATCGTGGCAGAGAAATGGCCCGCAACCGCACACGTGAGAATAAAAAAGCAAAGGCGAGCAGTGCGGCCGTTAAAACACACACACTCGCATCGTATGAAACGCTTCTTGGAGAGGAACTGAATGCAGACACAAGCGCACACAATCCCAATGGACACCCGCAATCGTGTGTGTTTGTGTATTTCCCACTCTTTGGCCCTCGATGCGTTCCTGTGCGTGTCTCGCCCGTGAGTCACAGTGCCGTAGGGTGCCAAGTCCCTGCAAACAAAAGACTCAGGACGCAGCATCGAGGCTTCCCCAATGACCACCTCACGGCCATACCTTTTGGATATCTCATGGGCCGAGCGCCTCTCGCTGCAGGCCACACCACCCAAAACAAGCAGCACAATGCGCTGAGGAGTTGTGAGGGCAATCGTCCCACCACCACCACCGCCACCCAGAACAGGATGATTCTCCCCTTTGCCACCACACCCTTGAAATGGCCCGGCGTTATTCCCTCATGCTCCACTGTTTTGGCCACCATTCGTGCCATTTGGCCCCATCGCATGATCGCGCTGCACCGATGCCAACGAAAGCCCAACCTGCAGCGTCCTATTCCTGCCCGTCCCAGTAAGCAGGCATGTTTCAAAAACGAATCCCCGTCCGTCGCAGCGTTGCTCGCAGAGGCACTCGTGCTCCGTTCGCTCTGCGCCGACGCCGTGCTGTGTCGCTGCACGCTCCCGGCCCTCCTCGTCACATGCTCAAGGCTCGCAAACAAATAGGCATTGGGCGTCAGTCCACCGTCTCTGATCAGCTGCTGCTTCTTGGCCTCCGTCAACTCTTCGGTGCTGCTCGCAGTCACAAGCAACAGGAGAAGACGCAGACGCACTGGCCGGGGCATTGCGGCATCCCTCGTCAGGTGCCGCACGCCATCCAGGTTTTTCCTGAGGGGTTGGTGCCCAACGGCGATGTCTTGTTCCACCTTCCGCACCTCCGCCAGTCGCTTCTCCCGGTACTGTGCCACAAGCCTCGCGCAAAAATCGATGTGCAGCGACGGTCTGGCTTGCCTCTCCCGAAGCTCCGGCAAAGCCCGCACCGCACTGCTCAACTCCGCAAGATTGTCCTTCGGCTCCACGCCCTGCGTCAATCCCGGGTGATACGCGTGGAATTTTCCAGCGCCACCGAAAGCTCCTCCACGCACTGCGCAAGAAAACAATGACGCTACGAGCGCCGGTACACATATTCTTCACCTATTACTGTCGCTTCGAGTCCACACCCAGACAATTCCTACAGGTCCGCTCATACAAGTTATTCTCCAGCGGCATCAAGTCATCAAGCAGACACTGACATGTGCGTTGGTGCATCAGCGGCATCACCGTGACACAGCCCCAATCAACGATGATCCGCACCGGGTTGCCGCAGCTGTCGGCGCCCCTAAGTGAAATCCTGTTCGTCGTGGCAGTGCCTGGCGAGCCCTCAAAAAAGGTCCTGGCAACCCATGGCAGATGCTGCCACTGTTTTGGTAGCGAATGACAGGCACACCGTTGTTCATGGCGTGAATAGCCGTCACAAGACGTGACGCCGCAGCATCCACAACGGACTCCCAATTCGGCGGCAACAGCGGCGACAGCAGCTGAAAGAACCCATTCTGAATGCTGAGGTGGAACACCAGCACCTCAGGGGCGGTAAAGTCTAACATAATGTCCTTCAAACGCATCGCCCTCGGCGCCATCCGAGACCGCGGGAGTTGCTGAAGAATGCGATGCGGGGTGCACTCCAGCGCAAAGATGTGTGCATCCCTGTACGGGACCTTTGCCATTCAATCCTCAACCACGCGGCTCACAGACGCATCCTCCACGGAAAAAAGTAGTGTGCAGGGCTATTCATAATCGGCTGCCGCGGTGTCATGAGGTCCTCGAGCAGCGTCACGCCGTGCTCCATGAGGTCATGGAGACGCAGTGAGCAGTTTATCACAGACGCAGCATGTACATCGCAGAAAAGAACTTTAAACAATACATGAACGGCGTCAAACATCCGATGGAATATATGATCCCGCACACAACCACGAACGCCATTGCTAGACTCACGCGGCTGCCCCGCTTCCGTCGGCCTTGCTCGCACCAACTCGCACCGCATACTATGTCAAGTAGAAGTCACACAGAAAATGTGCTTTGATATGCGTGTGTCTTGTGTGTGCACATTTCACTCACATCGTTGTGTGTGTGTGTGCGTCTCAGAAAATATGACAAACACACAAGCAATTCCATACTACCATCTGGTGCCCCCAAATCGGCAACCAACACAAGAAGAGCTGTGTGCATCAGAAATACAACCAATCTCAAATCAAAAGTCAAACGGAGCGGACACAGCACATGCATATGGAGAACGGCACCCAATGAAATGGATGTTTTTCTATTGGGCATCCAATGGTGAGTACAAGCCAAGCAGGAAGCGCAGTCGCCTCGCAGCGCAACGCCATCCAAACCTCAACTCGATGGAGTGTTGCCACGGCGGCAGCAGAGGCAAGCAGAGGAAGCAGCGGACAAGCAGAAGCAGCAGCAGTGTCATCACCGAGAGTCGGAGGCGGGGCCTGCTTGCCGTCCGTCTCGCTGCTTCGGTCCCTGCCACCGAGAGAAGATTCTTGCGCTCTGTCGGGGCATCCTGGCCGGAGCCACTTCTCCTCTGGCGATGGGTTCTTCTGAGGAGCAGCCGTGTCTACGTCCTTCGGTGGTGTGCCGCGGCCGGTCTCAATGCTCCCCGCAACGGGGACGGACGCCCGTGGCAATCCTTGTCCAGTAGATGCCGGTGAAACCGTCCTGCTCCACATGCTCTCTCCTCGCCGTCCCACGGAACCACTGGAAGTAGGCTACCGCTGGTGGCAGATATCGTGCACACCTGCGCGTGGTCACGGCAAATAGCGTTTCCCTCAGCGTAGGGTCGAGTGGCCCACGTAATCGTCGCCCCGTCCGTGCATGGAACCAACGGACGTTACCCTTTTCAGTCACTTCCAGATGCATTTGCATGCCGAGGCACCTCAATGCCGCATGCAAGGCAGCACTGAAATATGTCTCCTCCGGCTCCTTTGCATCCGTCGTGTTGTTGGGAAGCGTGTCCAGACACCACGAAGAGGGCTCATCCCCAGGCACCGCAGACAAATATTCTCCCCTCCCAAATAACAGCCTCAATATTTCTCACATCCAGTGCGGGATCAGTGATGGCGCAACTGTCCATCGGACGCTTTGCTGACCTTTCATGCATACTCCCCAAACAGCGACCACTGGAATAACGATCCGACGCGTAGCATTTGACGGGAACGCCCAATGCGCAGAGCATGTGGGAATATTCACTCATGTTCGGTGCGGAGCGCTTCCTCCGTGCAGTCGCCGGCACCCACAATCGGTGCCATCCACTCATCCCTCGCGTGGCGCTGCGACCAGTGCGACTCCAGCGTCCTCCCGTCCCCATCGTCATCCTGCAGTTCCATGTCATCAATGTCTTCGCAGTCGTGGTGCTCCCTCGCAGCCATCGCGGCATTCGTCGAGTCCACCACCACCAACAGCGCCCTGCGACGCACACAGGCAACATTCCTCACCATGCTGCGGCTGGCCATGTGCGGGCAGTTGAACCCGACAGCATGGGCCAACAGGTGCGCGGCGATGCGTCCGTGAAATGAAACTGACAGGCAAAGTACATGGTGCCAGCGATGGGACGGCCATCCTCCAGCGTGACGCAAAGCAGTGCCCACACGCCACCCGACGCCGCAGCCACGCACGGCAGCATGACAGAATTAGCAACACCAGCGGAACGATGCCCAGCAGGCACCGTGAACCAACCGCAAACACTGCCCGTGGCAAATGGGGGCACAATCAACGGACCCTCCAGTGGATGGACGAAGAGACGATCCGCATGCAGTTACACAGCAGCAGGGATAGTCTCCTCGGCAAGGTGGTTACCGTGCGCAGAGGTCAGAACACCATCCTCACAGTGGAGATTGTCATTCAATGAATTCATTGCGTGAGACCAAAAGAAGACGCAGTGCCCCCCTGCTGTCACACGGTCTGTCGTTGTTGACGTCTTGATGCGGACGGGCACCCATGGGTCCCTCCAGACGACGCTGCACACCTGCAACGCATCCGGCGCCCTGAGATGCATTCTCCCCACCGTAAACGAGAACCTCGCTGTGGGTGCGCACCAAATCGTCACGGAATAAGGAATACTTCAGGATGAAATCAACCGCCGACAAATCAAATCGCACAGATCATCAATAGCAGAACCAGAATCGATGCAGACCGTGGGGTTAACCTGGATCAACGGAAGCACGTCAAAAGTCAAAGACAATCTTAATGGCTTCACAAAAATACAAGAGGCTGGCACTTCCTCAACAAAAACAAAACATATATAAAAAAGAAAAATCCAGTGTCCGCATCCAAAGCATGCAGCCAATCAGAAAGTGCAATGGGTGCACTCAACCACAAAACAATGAAAAACAAAACAAAAAGCCGAAGCGTGGGACGACCAGCGCACACACACTCTCATTGCTCCCGTAAAGCAAAACACACACACAGGGAGAGAGAGAGAGAGAGAGAGGTCGCCCACTCAAGGCAATGGAAACAAAACAGAAACAGTTGCGGTGCTCCGCCCATGCAGCCAGGCAGGACGGCAGCGGTGCGTGTCGTGCAAAAGAGAGCACCAACGGGCCTGCATGGGTGTGCATGCATATATACAATGGGCACATTATGTGTGTGCTTCGTGGGATGAGGTGAGGGCGAGAGTCCATGCAAGGGGACACACACAGAGAGTGAGTGAAAGACGAGTGTGTGTGCGGGCGGTGCATGGCTCTCTCTCCCTCACTCTCACGCGGCCACCACCGCAGCAGCCGCCGCACACGCAAAAACAAGAAGAAGCAAAAGAGGGGAGGTGGTGTGGGAAGCCGCGGTGCTGCCGTCACTGTCGCCAGGTGCCGTCGTATAATTCTTTTGAGCAGCGGTGACTGTTGCTGGTGTTTGTGGTTCTGCCTCACTGAGTGTTGGAACACCGTTGGTATTGCCAGTTTCAAGACTGTCGTGTTGTTCTTCAGAGATTTGAGCATCATCCTTATCTTCCCTATTCTGGACATGATCACCGCTGCCACTTGTAGAGGTAGATGATGTTGTTGTTGTTTCTGCTGGACTGCCGGTTGCTGCATTCTTCATCAAATCCTCTGTGTCTGTGTCATGACTGTGCCGCC